CTCATCATGCGCCATGTTGGAAGAGCTGTTTTTTAGGGAATACCTCTTCTGAGATGGTTTCATTGCTCCCTTTTTCTGCTTCTTGCTGCCAAGGGCACCATCATAGAATATCTGACATTAACCAAACCTTGACTGCAGAAACACAGGGTCACCAAGTATCAGGAGCTATTAGTGAGAATGAAGGTGTCTTGGCAGTTAAGAATCTCATTGAATCAAGGCAGATGGGATTTTGGTCACACGGACTTCCTTCCTGCCTTTACTGAAAGGAGAACCCTTTGGGTTCATAAGCCACTGAAATATTATATTTGCTGTGTGAACTCTTATTTCTATCCCATATCTATACTATGTGGAACAATCCTATGCAGGCCCATGGAGTTCAGAGGGGCTTACTTCCAATAAAGTATGCCAAGGATTGCAGCCTCAATCTTGTTAACCAATCCTATGCATGTCTACTCAGCAGTAAATTCCTTTGCATTCAGTTAGCTGTGCTCCCAAGTAAATACGTACAGGATTGCATTCTCCGTTTCACTAGTCTAAATATTTATTAAATGTCCCTGCAGAGGAGCAGGAGCCCCTGGGCTCTTTATAAAAGTGCTGCAATCGTGCCAATAACATTGCACTCTCCCCGGTGCTTGTTCTTGTGTGTAATAAAAGAGGAGCGCTGATTTTCCAATCCGAAGCTTTCAAAATGGTAATTTAAGAAACCGAAATGGAAACAGCTGCTGCGGTTAATATACTCTGTCCAAAATGCAAGGGGACGCCACGTCCCGCAGCAAAGACAACAACAATGATATAAAAAGCTGGCTATCATTCACCTAGGACTGAAGCCAGGGCATATTTATGGCATTGGTTTTAATTCCGGCAAAGCACCTTCTTTGCATTCGTTATCATTAGCCCCATAAAAGTTGGTTCCTGTTTGCTCAGCACAATTCTGACAGCTTTAGCTGATGACACCTGACATAAGCAACCCTAGTAAAACTTGCTTGATAGCGGCTGAACGGCTGCCCGCCCTGCGAGGAAGGACTTCATGAAGAGAGAGTCATAATAAAATCTGGCTCGCGTATAAAATTTAAAAGTCAGATTTAACTTTTTAGTGTGCGAAGCATTGTAAAGGAAGGGTGGGGGTAGAGGGAAGAAGAACAGGCGGTCTGGCGAAATCCATACATCAGCACGGCTGTCAGGTTAACGAGAGGGAAATGCTTTACTTCCTTGTAAATGTTGCCTTCCTGTGGGCTCGCTTTAATTTTGCAGCAGCGTTTATTTAATTTTAAAGGGTCCGTCTTCTTTAATGGCTCAGGGTTATTGACTTTAGGAATCTTGCTCAGGAAGGCTGTGATTCGGAAGCCACAACAAGAACCTTGAAGACAGAAGCAAGAGTCTTCTAGTGCATCTGTCAATCTGCCATCCTTCATTGGGCACAGGAGGGCACCGATGCCCACAGAGGCCTACTTTGTGTTGCATTTCAGTGGAGTGAGGAGCTCTGTTCACGCAGAGGGGTGTGTGGGCATAGTGGAGCTCCCGCACCCTCCACCTCAAGTGCTGAACAACAGGGGCGAACGAAGGCTAACCGACACCCGGGGCGGGGCAAACCACCAGCTGTGCACACGTTCTGCCGCTACGTTCGACACATGCATGGTGTCACTACATAGGGCACATCTGCAGCGTCGCTACATACAGCGCATGCGTGCGATACCACACATGCATTGTATGTATCGGTTGGCAAACTGCTATATACAGCGCATGTGCAGTGTCACTATGTACAGTGCATGCGTGCGACACCACACATACGTTGTACATAGTGGTTTGCCACTGGCGCCGCCCGAGCGCCAAATGGACGGTGGTGTGATCCTCCACATGCGGCTGCAGCGGTGTGATGGCTTCTCGCACCACTGCACCTGGGGGTGACGGGGCGAGCGCCCCACAGGGTAACTTCTTGTCACCCCTCCAGACATGGCACCTGGGGCAAACCTCCCCCCTTGCGACACCACTACTGAACAATACATGTTGGGTTAGCAGCGTTATTCAAACTTGGTTCACTGTTGTTGGACTACATCTCTCATCATGCCTGAGCACTGGTCCTGCTAGCTAGGGATATATAGGGATGATGGGAGTTGTAGTCCGACCCAAGTTTGAGAAAGGCCTGAAAGAATGATGACCTTGCAGAAGTGCATTGGCTGTGGGTTTCCTTAGTGTTAGACCTGTTAAGCTCACCAACCCATGTGATTTGAGAACAGTGCCTTTGGCCTGAGCCAGCTGGGCTCTTGTTGTTTCTTTATGTTCTAACTAACCCATACAGAATGTGGCAGCAATGGGGGTTAGTGTCTGCTCACCTGTGGGATCAAATGAAGCATGTTCTGCAACAGCTGTTATGGTCAGCAGCTTGCTTACAGACACAATCCGGAGATTGCATGTGCACCATATATTGAAAGCGCATACATATATTACAAGCACATCCCCCCTGCAAGAATGCTGGGAATTGCAGTTGACCCCCAGAGAGCTGCAGTTCTCAGAAACCTTAACAAACTCCAGTTCCTAAGACACTGGGAGTAGCAAGGTGCTTTAAATTTATGGTATGTTTTCACCCCAAGTGTTGGTGATTATCTTTAAAGCCCCAAATAGCTTGGTTCTAGGGTACCTGGAGGACTGTTTCCTCCCATACCATTCTACGATCAATTGGAGAAGCACTTTTCCATGTCGCTTCCATGCCTGAGACATCGAGAGAGAGAGAGAGAGAGAGAGAGAGAGAGAGAGAGAGAACAGAAAAGGGTCTTCTCAATGTCTGCTCCCAGATAACTTACCCCATGAGATTTGTTTGGGCCGCTCTCATGCGTAATGCAAAGTGGTTCCTCCATGTGGCCAAAAAAGGAAGAAAAAACCAGCATCCACTTCACCTGTTTGCAGGAGTTACTTGCCAAACCAAAAACTCTGAAGCATGGTGTATGAAGCTGGCTTGTTCAACAACCTAAAGTGTCTTGGGAGCCACAATTCCTGGTTGACACATAACAAGAAGCCAGAAACTGGGGGAAGGCAAACAGAATCATGGCTAATCTCTTGGCTACTCTGGAAGTAGAGGGGAGAATTATTGAGTCCAACTTATGCTTGGACTCTCAAGGCTCAGGCATGTCATGCTAATTCCTGGCTTAGCATGATGTGCCAACCAGAACACGGTGTTGTTTTCCAGACCACAGTTTTATCTTCTTGCTGTTTTCTCCACTGAGCATGCATCCATTTTTATATGCAGATGCTTTATTTATCAGATTGCTTTGCTTATATATATATATATATATATATATATATATATATATAGTTACTGGAGAACAGGTAAAGAAGCAGTGTACCTCTGGGTACCAGATGCTAAGGATGAAGAGGGGATGACCATCATATTTATGCCTGTTTGTGAGTTTCCCAGAGGCACTGGGAACAGAATGCGGCTCCAGATGGCTCTTTGGTCTCAGCCCCCAAGACATTCCTGTCTTCTTACATTCCATGGCATAACTTTGTAAGCATAGCAGAGGTTCCTCCTCCGGCAGCCCTGAATGTAGAAAGGAAACACACCTCTCATTCATAGCTTGTTATCAAACAAAGGGATTTCTCAAATATAAATCTAGCATGTGCGTGTTTTCTCTGTAAACACTCCCAATTTATTGTACTACATGCATAATTTGATCACAGGTGGTGTGCTGAATAATTGCCTCCCCCCCCCCTTCCTAATTTTATTTTCTTTTACTTTTGGTTAAGCAAAAGTGCAGATTTCCATTGATAGAAACACCAGCGAAAGATTGTGTTTGATGCAGGAACAAGTGGAGTTACATATGCAAATAATAGCTTGTCTGTGATGTGGCTTTTGTCTCCTCTCATACCAATTCATTGCTAGTCTATAATTAGGAAGAGGGAAGAGAAGGAGTAGTCAACAGAGCCGAGTAATACCCTGTATGAATTTCAGATACGATCACAACAGAGCTTTGTGAAACACACATTTTCCTTATGCCTATAGACGGTGTGCCTGCATAGCAAGCAAACCTTTGCTTTGCACTTTGCTTTGCGCTTCCTTCCCAAAGACAGAATTATCCAAGAATGGTGTCTCACTTGCACGCTCGTCATTTCAATGATGGCTGCTTCCAGAGTTGAATTCTCACCCTTAATAGAAGCCTTATTAGTAGAAGCTTAATAGAAACAGGAGGACACGCATCTTACCCCATAGTCTGGGCTCTCTTTGGCATAGGATATGAACGCTCCTTTATCTCCCCACGAGTCTTCCTTGACCTTACCCAGGAGTGCTCAACATCCTCTCAGTCACAGCAGGGATGTCACTGAGCAAGTTGTCAGGGTCCTTGCTGCAAGCTGGACTCGTACTGGCAAAGATCCCTTGCATTGCTTGGGCACTTGAGTGGTTGACAGGGTAGGTACCTGGTAGCTCATGGTTTCCAGGACCCAACAGTGTCTTCAGTGCCTAGGAGATAAAGACAGCAGAGATCAGCTTTCCTAGGTAGAACTTTCCATTGTATTCAAACAGAATGTACTCTGGAGTAAGGCCATGTCCACACCATATTTAAAGCACTGTGATACAACTTTAAACAGTCATGGCTTCCACCGCCTCCAAACTTTGGGGAACTGTAGTTTTTAAGGGTGCATAGAGTTGTTAGGAGACACCCTCATTCTGCTCTCAGAGCCACAGTGGTTTAACAATGGATTCTTCTTAACAGGGAGCTGGGAATTGTAGTCTGAGGAGGGGAATAGGGGTCTCCTAACAACTCTCAGCACCCTTAAGAAACTACAGCTCTCAAAATTATTATATTTTTTTTTGGGGGGGGGGAACCACGGCTGTTGAAATGGTATGATGGTGCTTTGAATGTACAGTGTGAAAGTGGCCTAAGTTCACAGGGAGTCTGTATGCAGATATACAGTACAGCAAGTGGGACTAACAGGTCAGCAGCTCCTACCTTGATGCAGGTAGCATTGCTGTCCTGGAGTGGAGCATCAGAAAGAGTCTGCCAATGGTGGCATTGTGGGATAGCTCAGTTGGTAGAGCATGAGTCTCTTAATTTCAGGGTTGTGTGTTTGAGCCCCACATTGGGCAAAGAGGCTCCTATATTACATGGACTAGAGACCCCTTCCAACTCTACAACCCTATGATTCTATGATTTTGCTGTTGCCTAAAAGGATTTCAGGTTAAGGAGGGCTGTGTCTTTCTACTAGTTCTTTTGGCTGAGGCCGACTCTTTGCAGGTGTGAGGTTTTGTGCCCACTGAAGTTTCAGAAACTAAGAGTTGATCATTCTGAATTACAAGGCAATTAGACTAGTTTCAAGGCAATAAAATAAAATTAGAGAAGCCCACGGTCTGTTTTAAAATGGCTGCCAATCTGACAAAGATGACTGCTGGGGTCTATATCATTGACAAGCGGCTTCTCGGCACTCGGTTGCAAAGACGAGTTCTGCGCTGCCATGCTTGTGGCGGTTTGCTGCCAAAGATGAGAGAACTTAGATCAAAGTGAAACAACTGAGAACTGGTGCACACTGCCTGTGTCAGGGGCCGGCACAAGCCTGCAGCAGGTCTCGAACTTGTAATCAGAGGGTGAGGCAGCAAGAGCAGTCACAGAGGCCCTTCTACACCACCAGATCAGGAGATACCATATGCAAGATTTCCAGGTCATGGTTGCTTGCTGATCTGAGCAGCGAGCAGATTTTGCTCATTGCCGCTTACAGGCAGCCTTTGCCCTGCTTCCGAGTTCACAGGAGCTGGGCCTGACAGACAGTTACGCAACGCAGAAGAAGAGGAAAACATTGCACAGGTTGCAAAGGAGCACCACATGCTTGCTTTGACTTCCTGATATTTTTAGGTGGTGGTGGTTTCTAAAGGACTGGGGCATGTGTTTCCTTACCCCCACCCCAGCCTTAGGAGCATCAACTGCCTATAAAAGACAAAAAAACCCATGCCCCTTTATCAACACGGAGAATTGGGAGCAGAATGCTAGGGCGGCCACGTCACCTCATAAAGTTTCAGTCCATTAGATAGCAATGCTTTTGCATGGCTTGCCATGTGTGTTATCAACATATGCTACAAGTCAGCAGAGTGCAAGTTACTGCTGTTAAGGCCAGCCTTAGCTTCTGCTCAAAATTCTTATGCCTTATGTTTAGGAAAGGGATGTCTCTCCCAGGGCTTGTTTCATTTAATCACATAATTATGGCTATGATCACAGCTTAGCGGCTGAGTGATGTCCAATGGTTGCCCCACGGCGAGAGGGGCTGCATGTGACGGTTGCTGGACTGGGTCAACCCAGCATCTGGGTTCATACACCCCCATTCTAAGAGGGACCAATGCTCCCATGATTCCCAGGAGATAAAATCATTGGGTTGTTGTTCTCATCACCCTTCCATTCATGTGGTCCAACATATCCTGTACTGGAATCCTCTGCTCATTAATGCTTAATTTAATCCTTTAATTTATATGCTTAATTTAATCCCAATGCCTCACATGAATTCTGGTGTGCCCTCAAACATAAAAAGAGCCTGCTGGATCACGCCAATGTCCCATCTGGTCCAGAATCCTGGTCTCACAGTGGCCAACCAGATACAGTGGTACCTCGGGTTACAGACGCTTCAGGTTACAGACGCTTCAGGTTACAGACTCCGCTAACCCAGAAATAGTACCTTGGGTTAAGAACTTTGCTTCAGGATGGGTACAGAAATCATGCGGCGGCAGCGGGAGGCCCCATTAGCTAAAGTGTAACTTCAGGTTAAGAACAGTTTCAGGTTAAGAACAGAATGAATTAAGTTCTTAACCCGAGATCATAGCTGTCAACCTTCCCTTTTTTTGCGGGAAATTCCCTTATTCCAGTGCCGTTTCCTGCTGCTTCCCACTGCTATCCCGGATCGTTAGATATCCTGTAGACAGTCCCCGGGACAGGTGAGGCTGCTGATCCCTTATTTTCAAATCTGAAAGTTGACAGCTATGCCCGAGGTACCACTGTATCTGTGAGAAACCCACAAACAGGGCCCAAGCACAACAGCACTCTCCCCTCTTGGGGGTTCCAGCAACTGCTTTCAGAAGCATCAATGACTCTGACGGTGGAAGCAGAGCGTAGCCATCATAACCGGTAGCCACTGATCAAACCTAGAGGAGGAGTTTTTTGGGGTTTTTTGGATTTGATATCCCGCCTTCCACTCCCTTTAAGGAGTCTCAAAGCGGCTAACATTCTCCTTTCCCTTCCTCCCCCACAACAAACACTCTGTGAGGTGAGTGGGGCTGAGAGACTCCAAAGAAGTGTGACTAGGTCACCCAGCAGCTGCATGTGGAGGAGCGGAGAGGCGAACCCGGTTCCCCAGATTGCGAGACTACCGCTCTTAACCACTACACCACACTGGCTCTAGAGCTGCCAATCAGGCCAGTTCCTATTGGAATGGACAAATCACGAATTCCTCAAGCATCCCTACAGGGTTACAGACGTGGGCCCTGCAGCCTTGGGGTTCGGAGGGCAGGCTGAGACCCACACGCCGTGTAAAACAGGCATGGTGGTGGGGAATTGTCCAACCCCTGAGGTCAAGTACCTGCCAAAAGGTTCGCCCACAAAGCAGTGGCATCTTGGCGAAACATCTTGGGGACACGTATGTCTGCAAAATGAAACAAAATGAAATAATGGGCAATGAAAACAAATGTTTGACAGTTGGGCCACCCTCCTGTGGATTGGGAGGCGAGCCCATTGATTTCTACCCAAAGTATAGCTTTGAGACTCGAAAGATGAAAGGCAGCAAACCCCCCAAAGCCCCGTGCTCTTTTTCTCTGCGCCAAAATGAGCTACGGAGTTATAAATACCAGCTGCAGACCTTTCTGTCATGAGCATTTGTTCAATACGTGGCCAGAGGCTCCATTTATCGTATTGTATCTCTTTAAGTGTGTTTCTCGAAACGGCCCCATATTTTATCAAATTCTGGATATATATTTTTGATTAATGACGGAGGCATTTTCCCCAGTGTGGCACGATCCATCATACTCCTAATCCAATTTTTAAATGAAAGGCGTTCTTGGATATCTTTGTAATAGAGTTATTCTTTTCCTTCTTCTCGGTGTAGTTACAGTTCCCTCTCTTGCTTGCTCTCCTTGCAGCAAAAGAGAGAGGTTGAGAAATAGTTTGCAGTGATGTATTCCTTAGCAGGCAATAGTGGAGGGCTGGCATATTCCATCTCTGCAAGCGGGGTCCTTTGGCTCGTTTTAATTGCAACAACACAGAGAGTGGCTTCGCCATGATGTAATTCAGGGGCAAGCTGAGCCTGGCAAGCTGGGGCAAGCCCATTTGCTTTTCCTGCCTGTTGTCGGGTATTGCAGTGGCATGAAATGTAACTTCCATGCGGCTTTTGTGCCAATGCTGATGCATCTCGCCACGGCCCTTTGGTCAGTACAAATAATAATAATAACAAACAACAACATTTATTTATGTCCGTTTATGAGAATATCTCCCAGCAATTTTGCAATAAAAGCATCAGCACTAAAAGCAATCGCACCATTTCACACACACATTATAGAAGTTTTTTTTTTTAAAAAAAGCCCAATTAAAAACGCTATCCTATTAAAAAGCAAGAAACAAAAATAATCTCGTGCGTAAAAAAAAACACTTTCAAGTCCAATGCAGATAGAGACTGGGATAAAAATATGCAATTACAGGGTGTGTTGAAAACGGAAGGTCTACCCTGGGTGCCAGAAAGGCAACAGAGATGGCACCTGTCTGACATGTAACGGGGGGGAGGGGTGTCCAGTGGGTTGGTGCCACCACAGTTAAGGCCCAGTTCCTATGTGGAATAGACCTCGTGAAGAGATGGGATCTGCAGAGTGTAGTGACAAGTTGGGCATATAAGATGACAGCTGCACCTACTTTTGCCTCTACCACTTTCTGTCAAAACAGCAGCAGCAGCAACAAATAATAATAATAATAATAATAATAATAATGACTTGACTGCTGTAGTTTGTGTAAGCCAAGGTTTCTGAATACCTTCTAATAGTAGCCTCATGTGGTTCATGTCACAGCACAAGGGTCCAATCTAGACATGACTTTGGAGCGATACAGCATGTAATGGCATGGGATTGGCTCTTTCTGAGGGGTGATCTTAAGGGTCATTTTAAGACCAGAAACATCCTGACCTGTCATGCATCAGATGTCAAAGAAATAAACAACTAACTGACTTTTAGAAGGCATCTGAAGGCAGCCCTTTTTAGGGAAGTTTGTAACATTCGATGAATTGTTGTATTCTAATCTTTTGTTGGAAGCCGCCCAGAGTGGCTGGGAAACCCAACCAGATGGGCGAGGTAGAAATAATAAAATGATGATGATGATGCTGATGATGATGATGTCAGCGTCATTCCTTGAACTGACTGAAGTTCTCTCTTCTAACCAATGTCCCCTAGTAGCGCAGGGGAGTAAGAAAGAGCCACCTGGTGCTCTGTTTGAGCCTTGTGGTGTCTGACAACACTGAGATGCAATCGAATTGTGTGTGTGTGTGTCTGTGAGAGAGAGAGAGTATGTATGTGCATGTCTCTAACATGCATGCATACATAAAAAGGTAAAGGTACCCCTGCCCGTACGGGCCAGTCTTGCCAGACTCTAGGGTTGTGCGCTCATCTCACTCTATAGGCCAGGAGCCAGCGCTGTCCGCAGACACTTCCGGGTCACGTGGCCAGTGTGACGGAGCTGCTCTGGCAAGCCAGCGCAGCACACGGAACGACGTTTACCTTCCCGCTGATAAGCGGTCCCTATTTATCTACTTGCACCCGGGGGTGCTTTCGAACTGCTAGGTTGGCAGGCGCTGGGACCGAATGATGGGAGCGCACCCCACCGCGGGGATTCGACCGACTGACCATGCGATTGGCAAGTCCTATGCGCTGAGGTTTTACCCACAGTGCCACCCGCATCCCTGCATGCATACATACATACATACATAAAATAGTTAAGTGCACAACATTACCCAGAGGTCATGGGCAGTACAGTGCCTGAAATTTCTTTTCAGTGTTCAAGATCAAACCCTTCCCCAGGCTTTAGAAGCACCTGTCTGTGACTTGAACTGAGCTGCTCACTTGGTCGCGGCAGCTACTCATTCGATGGCCCTGCATTGCACAGGGATTCCCTGCAAGAGAGTATTTCCGCTTGGGAGCAGCAGTAACATGAAAGGTCCCACATCACCTTTGCAGATAGCTTGTTAGCGACTCTTGTTATGTACTACTAAATGCGTTGTCTGATGAGCCTTGACTGCTGCTGTTCCAAATAGGAACACGAGAAGCTGTCTCATACTGAATCAAGCCCATCTAGCTCAGCATTGCTCACACTGACTTGCAGTGATTCTCCATGCTGTCAAGCAGGACTCTTCCCCACCTGCAGATGCCGGGGATTGAATCTGAAACCCATGGCTCTCCAAGTTTTGTTGAGTTCCAACTCTCAACTTCCCAAGCCAGCATGGCCCAAGTTTGGCAGTTTATGAACAATGGTAAGGAATGCCATCCAAAAACATATGGAGGGACACTTCACTAGTCCAAGGGAATCAGGGAGGATGGATGTAGAGTTGGGCTGTCTGTAAGAAGGCAGCACATTGTTTTCCCCCCTCCGCGCCTTAATTCAACTCTCATCTGGTCTTAGTGGCAGGCGCTGACACAGCAATATCAACTCACACTGCTGCCTCAACAGGATGTCCTGTGGCAGAAATGGCTATTTTGTGGCTCTGCGAGCTGACTTGAGCCTGCAGGGCAATTTTATCTGGCCTCTGGTGACCCTACCAATTTGATCAAGGTGTGCAAAAAATGTCTGCAGTTTCACTGGTAAGGCAGGGGAAAGGAGATTCTTTCCCAAGGTTGTGAGAGAGGGAGATTTTTAATGTTAGAGCTGAAGCTCTTGATTCCAGATCCTGGCAGAGTGTCCTGTTTATTTCTTGGTGTTGCTGGACTATAGCTGCCAGCATCCCTGACCATTGAGCAGCATGTTGGCTGGTGTTGATGGGGTCGGAAGTCCCAACATTTGAGTCCCTGTTCCTTACCAGAAAGGAGAGGGGCTAGGCACTGGGGAGACTGGCCTGCTGCAAATGCACCTTCTGAGTCAAAATGGCGCTCCTGCAATCTGTTTACACTACGCTGGCATGCCCATTGGTTTGACTCTTCCCCATCTACAGCAGCAACTCAGCCAGAGTTTCCCAAACTTGGGTCTCCAGCTGTTTTGGGACTACAATTCCCATCATCTCTGACCCCACTGGCCCTGCTAGCTAGGGATGATGGGAGTTGTAGTCCAACAACAGTTGGAGACCCAAGTTTGGGAAACCCTTAACTGAATTGCCAGGTGGTCAGGTGAGTATCTCTGCACCACCATCCCGTCTGCTTCTGGCTGTATGTGACACTTCAGTCATGTCCACACAACACATTTAATACATATACTGTTTAAAACAATGGTTTCCCCAAAGAGTCACGGGGACTGTCATTTGCCACCTCGTAGAGCTGTGGCTCCCAGCAGCCTTAAAATACTACAGCTCCCAGGATTCATTGCGGTAAGCCACATGCTTAAAATGTATGTTGTGGATGTGACCAAGTTTTGCTGGCTTCGCTGTTCCAGATAATGGGGCTACAAGCCAGAAATGAAAGCATCCATTCTTGGACCAGCATGGATGTCAAGAACTGGCACATGACACACTCCCCCTCTCCTTTAGCCTTGGTTGATGACACCAGTCTAAGTGATCTTGATTTATTTAGCTTAATTGTCTGCTGGTTAAATATGTTTAGTGAAGGTGAAGTCATTAAAATGCATCTTTGTCTGCCCTTATTTCTATGGATAGCCCTTAAGAAGGAGAAGAAAAACACTTTGAGACGTATTATAAGCATGCCACCCTCTTCCTGCCATATTTGCGAATCTGATTCCTGCTGTCCTGGTGGCATTTCCTCCCCTGGCAGTTAATCAGCAACAGATATAAGCAGCCCACCACTTACCATGCCCTTTGCTAATGATAATTGTCTGCTTTCCATTGTGCTGAATCCGGTATGGTCAAACAGTTTGCAAATTGCTCAACATCGTCTAAGAAAACAACACGGCTTTGGGAAAGCGACCAATTTTGGTGCAAAGAGTTTGTTGTGCGCGTGTGTGCCCGCTTTACGGATTCATCATTCCACCTGCAAATTGGTGGAGCTGAGCTAAGAGCAAGCCCTCTCTCTTTGCTGCAAGATTTTAACACCGAGGTCATCTGTAACCATTCCTTTGTTTGCACAGTCGGAATAGTTTCAGCTGGAAAAGGGATTTTTAGCAAGGCAGGTGTTCTGAGCCAAACTGTTGGTGCATCCAATGTACCAACTGGCAGTGGCTCTCTGAGATGTTAGGCTAGGGACACTCCCAGCCCTACGTGGAGATGCTAGGAATTCAACCTCAGAACTTCTGCATGCAGAGCAGGTGCTTTACTGCTGAGCTATTTCCCCCTTCCCCTTCCCACTTCTGAAAGAGCACGGAAAAGGATGAGGGGTTGTTTTTAAACTGTATTATGCACACACACAAAATGGCCTTGTTGGATCAAACAAAGGTCCATCTGGGCGATGGACTCTGCGGGGTGGTGAATGCTTCCCTCTGCAAGGGAGTGTTCCCAGACCCACTGAAAGAGGCGGTCATTAAACCGCTCTTTTAAAAAAAACATCTTTAGACCCGGCCAGGATGGCCAACTATCGCCTAGTCTCAAATCTTCCATTCTTGGGCAAGGTGATTGAGCGGGTGATTGCTGAACAACTCCAGGCATGCCTGGAAAAAGTGGACCATTTGGATCCCTTCCAATCGGGATTCAGGCCTCATCATGGGACTGAAACTGCCTTGGTCGTGCTGGTTGATGACCTCCGGTGGGCTAGGGACAAAGGTGAAAGCTGTTTCCTAGTTCTGCTGGATCTTTCAGTGGCTTTTGACACCATCGACCATAACATCCTTCTGGACCGTCTAGAGGAGCTGGGAGCTGGGGGCACTGTTATACAGTGGTTCCGCTCCTTCCTCCTGGGCCGTGACCAGAAAGTGGTGGTGGGGATGAGTGTTCAGACCCCTGGGCCCTCACTTGTGGGAAACCCCAGGGTTCCGTCCTCTCCCCCATGCTTTTTAACATCTACATGAAGCCACTGGGAGTTTGGGGGTTTGGGCTGGGTGTCCATCAATATGCGGATGATACCCAGCTCTACCTCTCTTTTAACTCGGAACCAGTGAAGGCCATGAAGGTCCTGTGTGAGTGCCTGGAGGTGGTTGGTGGATGGATGATGGCTAATTGATTGAATCCTGACAAGACCGAAGTACTGTTCTTGGGGGACAGGGGACGGGCTGGTGTGGAGGACTCCCTGGTCCTGAATGGGATAACTGTGCCCCGAAGGAGCAGGTGTGCAGCCTGGGAGTCATTTTGGACTCACAGCTGTCCATGGAGGCATAGGTCAATTTTGTATCCAGGGCAGCTGGATCTACCAGCTCCATCTGGTACCCAGGCTGAGACCCTACCTGCCTATGGATTGTCTTGCCAGAGTGGTGCATAGGAAGGAAAAGGAGGCATGCAAGGCCATTCTGTCAGCACCAGTGACAGATCAGCAATTTTTGGCATCTCCTTTCCTTGGGCCTTTCCAAACTTGTAACTAAGAACGTGTAGCTGAGTTTGCATCTTTCCTCTTTCCTTCCATTCATTTTCCTTTTGTGTCGTGTCTCTTAGGATTGTAGGCCTGGGGACAGGGACTGTCTTCTTTCTTTTAAAAAATGGTCTGTACATTGCTCTCAGAGGGATGTAGAGAGGAGGGGTGACATTATTTAATCAGATCAAACGAGAGTTATAAGGATTCTGAGAACCAATTCACACAGCCATCATTAACATGGCCCAACTTGGTTGTGTGAAGTGCCTATCACAGAGTCAGGTATCACATGCAGAACTTGTATGGTGAGTGCAGTGCCTGTCAGTGAGAAAAGAGCTTTATGATGTGGTGTAAATTGTCCCCAACTAGACACAGATTTGTGATATTTGGCTTCGTCCCTTACGACTTTCTGCCGATCAGAGACAAGTTTCCTTTTCCATGGATCGTTGTCTTGCTGAACAGATGATGTTTTATGTTTTGAGACCTGTTTAGGGCTTTTGATCTGCTGAGCTTATATCTTTTTATATTATTTGGTTATGAATGCCTGCATTTAAATTGTTGAAAACTGCTCAGAGCAAAGCACTGCAAGTATATTGAAAAGACAGGATATATTAGGGCAAAACTATCAGTTTCCTTGTCCCTCCATTTCTCATTTTTCCAGTCTTCAGTCCTCCACTTTTCCATATCAATTTGAGATTTATTTTAAGTCCTCATGAACATTTTAGTATGAATTTCTGCTAATAGACTTTTTTTTTTTTGCAATAGACATATTTTTGCAAAGCAATTTCCTCTAATGCAATGTAGTTTTTGAAAGTTGTTTTCACGAATATATGCATTTTTAATGCCTACTTTATGCTAGCATGGACATATTTGTACAAATTACTTGGCTAACTGCATAGCAAAAATTAGAGAAGTTCCTTGGTTTGTGTATTGCTTTGTAAAAATTTGATAGATTCGCCTTTAAATGTAAACGGAATCTAATTTTGTCCACTTCCCCAGAATATGCACACCTTTATTAAATGGCACCCCCCCAAAAAAAAATGCACCTTTGCCTGATCTTGTGTTATACCTCCTTGCTCTTTTCTTTGATATTCCTGATAAGAAGTGGCAAGCTTTTCAAGTAGAGCTAATTTGAGAGGAGAACTTGCAATGAGAAGTTATCAAAAAGCTGCTTCGGTACAATGAACTATCTTGTCTTCTATGAGCCTTTTGATAGCTTCGTAAGCATTAGTGGGACCTTCTGTGTATTATGGCCACCCTAATGATCGACTTGTGAAGAAAACCAAAGGTTCTTGCACTCTTAAGAGCGAATGTAATTAAACCAGTAGGTCAGAAGCAGAATATATTGTGCAGCAACAGGAGAACTAAAAATGCCAATAATTTCTCTTCTTCTTCTTCTTCTTCTTCTTCTTCTTCTTCTTCTTCTTCTTCTTCCTCCTCCTCCTCCTCCTCCTCCTCCTCCTCCTCCTCCTCCTCTCTTTCTCTCTCAAAAGTGCAGAAGAAGGTGGATTCCATCCTCATTCTTACTCCTAGCTATTATGAGACAGTTGATTTGGGACAAGAGTAGCAGTGAATTAAGCTCTTTGCAAGCCAGGGTAATGATTTCCTTTTGGAGATGATGCAGTATAAAAATAGCAGTGTTGCATAAGCATTTCAAATCTGAAGAATGTCAAAAGGTAGAGAATCTGCACCTTGCTGCCTTCACTTTCCAATGATTAGGCATGCTTGCTTTGGAGACCTTACTTAGGACCCTGTCAAATAATCAAAAGGCAGGCTTTCTAATGAGACTGTTTCCCATACTATTTTATACCATTGGTCTATGCTTACTCCTGACAGGTCTCTCCAGTGTCTGGCTATGATGTTTCTGGCTGCTGAGAGTAGGTGGGTTATTAGCTCTTTGTGTTGTGAGTGGGCATTATTGTCCTGGAAGATGTTTAGTAGGGCCAGTTCTGGGATAGCTTCTAATACTGTCTTAGTTATTTTGCATATTTCTTATATGATTGATGTCCAGAAAGTTGGATTTTAGGACATTCCCACCACATGTGGAGGTATGTGCCTGTGGAGGTGCATCCTCTCCAGCATTTTGGTGAGTTTCACCTATTTCCCCCTTTTCTTCCTAATGTCTCAAAAAATGAAACTGATCTGTAGAAAATGTAACTTGAAAAAAGACACATTGCACATTCTTTTGTAAAACAAAATCTCTCTCTCTCTCTCTCTCTCTCTCTCACACACACACACACACACACACACATGGCAGACTTTCCCCATCACACAGTGGATGCCTTTGACATCCACTGTTCTTACTGGAATTCCTGGGATAGCTCAGTCAATAGAGCTTCTTACTCTTAATCTCTGGGCTGTGGGTTTGAGCCCAACATTGGGCAAAAGATTCCAGCATTGCAGGGGTGGACTAGATGACCCTAGTGGCCTCCTTCCAACTCTACAATTCTATGATTCTGCGATCTGTCTAAAACGAATAATGATTTTGTTGATTAAACTGGTCTTCCGGGAGGGTCACTGTGAAGGGTCTGTTGATTGCGCCTGAAATGCAGTACTTTTAACACCTACCATACTTGCTGATCTTAGTTCCAATTTTTATGGTGGATAATCTGGTACACCTTTGCCCTACAGGACAATTAATTTTTTTCTCAACATGCTGCTCCTTATACTCTGGTGCTCGCTGACTTTTGTGCTTCCGTGGGGGCGGCTCTGATCTCCAGATCCGCAAGTATATCTTGCCGCATCAATTTATAGAAGCATTTCTGTGCAAATCAAGGCAATTTGCATAGGGTAATTTACATCAGAAAGTTTTCTGTCCGCATTAGAAAATGTTCTGATTCTCCAGAGAGTGATCTAATTTAGCATGTTTATTTTAGCTGTATTTAGTTGAAGAAAAAAAGAAAAGAAAAGAAAAAGTGGTAGAAAGCTAAAAACTTTGAAACCGCCAAGCTAGTTGTCTAAAATCTTCAGGGAGGATAAGTCTATCAGCTCCTACTACCCACAATGGCTGTGTTTTACCTCAGCCGTCCAAGACAGTAAGTCTCTGAATTTCAGCTGCTGGGAGTCACAACTGTGAAGAGTGCTCATCTCCTGCTTTGCCTCAGCTCCTGCTTCCCATAGCTATCTGGTTGGACATTGGGAAAACCGATTGCTGGACTAGATATTTCTTTGGCCTGACATGGCAGAACTCTCCTTATGTAAACAACAGCATCCATTCATTGTTGCTAAAGAACTTACACAATGAGATAGTTGCTGTTACACAGGCAGTGAGGGCAAAGGTTGCCTTCCATAGCAAACACTGGCCAGCTCATTACAAGGCCATGCAATATATATCTGGGAGACCGACAAGCTCCCTATACAATCCTCAAAAGCGCGCGCGCGCGCACACACACACACACAATTAATTACATGCATTTTGTTACATTAAAAAGAAATGCACACATACAGAGAGAGAGATGAACAATGAGCTCTGTAAGAAGCTTCTAAGAATGCTATTTTATCAAAGAAACCTTCAAATCTTCTCTAAAATATTGTGGAATATGCACCATGAAGCTGGTTAGATGTGGGACTCTTCTCATGTTTTGTATCATTTTGAATTGGTGGTGGTGGAACATTGAGTTCTTTTTCTTTTTTCTTTTTGCAAGACTTCTGGCAAAAATCTCTATGAATTTTTAAAACTCCTGGCAGCTTGCAAATCTGTGAGTGAAGCAAGTGTTTACATGTCCCGTTCTCAGCCTGTGTGTTTCTGGGCAGTGTAACAAAGGCACAACACAGACATACACACAATACCCTCATATATGCAAGCCTTGTGCTTTTATACAGCACAAAGGACATGT